CAACTTTGAGCCCTGTTTTTGGCCAATTCCGTTGTTCCAGTTGACGAAACTCATAGTTGTTCATTTAGAACTCCATTTTTCTATCAACTGAGTACAAGAAACTGCCCATTTACCAATTTGAACTACCCAATAAAGTGGTCAGAAATTGGCAATTTGGCCAATTTCATGCAAATTAAAAATAATGCCAATTTCAAAATAGGGTCCAGAATAAACAATGTAGACATTCTTGGCACTAAAATAACATATCCTCTGTTCATTGGTCATGTCTCTAAGTCCCTCTTTTATTACTATTGCTTTCTATTTTGATTTTTTTTATTCACACAAAAAATCCAAAATTTACTGTTATGCAAACTACTGCATTATTGTAAAAATGGCATAAATAATATCAGTGCACTAGTGAAAGAATATCAGACTCCCCAGTTGACGTGTATTGGATGTGTGGTGTGATTTGCTTACTCTTAAACATTGGTAAAAATCGAACATTTCTGCTACTTTGAGCTCAATTTCAAGGCCGTTTTCATCATGAAACTAATCAAAATCATCTCTATTTCTGCAATATGTTTTCCTTTTTATCACGCGAGACCATGAAAACGAGAATACAATGATAAATACTATAAGAAAAAACACCTCAAAGTCGGTGTTTTAATCCAAAAAAATGGTCAGTTTTTTTTTCTCATTATGCACTGTGTGCTGCAGGATTTTTTTATGTGGTGCACACTGACCACACAGACCCATTTTCTTACATGTGGGCCTACCAGCTTTCTCCTCCTTGATTTGAAGCTGCTAGAATTATTGAGTATATATACTACGTCTGAAACACTGGCTCGTAAGACGTATATATACGACCAAAACAGTCAAAGGGTTAAACACTACACATCAGTCCTCACCAAACTAATAAGAAAGGCTAAGCAATTGTACTATTCTGATAGATTCACTGAAACAAGAGATATAAATAAGACCCAGAAGACACTCTCTCAGATTCTGGGTACCCACAAACTGAAAAAACTAGGGATATAGTCCTAACTAAGCTGAATGAAACACAATCACAGCCTACTGGCACAGAAAACAAGATAAATAACTTTTTCTCAACCGTAAGATCAAATCTCGCCAGTAAAATCCCAGGTGCCAATGCCCGAGCGAGAGATTACTTAGGTGGGAATTTCCCAACTTCCTTCTATCTTGGAAACATAAACACATATGCAGTTTAATGTGATCCTTTATTGACAATGTTTCGCCCACACAGTGGGCTTTTTCAAGTCACACACAGATCTACCTGGGGTGGAAGGTACGGGAGTATTTATAGTCAGGTTCAGAATGTTGAAGTCAGGTGGAGAATGCTGCATCTGATGATCTACCGGGTGGGGTTATAGTCTTGGGTAGCTTGGCAGGGGTATTGGACAAGTTGTGAGTAGACCTTCTGCAGTGTTCTATGTTTTTATGTGGGATAGCGATGAAGAAGTTTCTTGGCGAGTGGCTCAGCTATGTTATAGAAGCCGTTGTTCTGGTTGAAATTGTTGGTTATAGAGATAAGCGATGATTCCAGGATTCTTTGGTATTGAGTTGTCTTCTGTGGCGATAAGTCTTGAGTTTCTGTAGTTAATTCCTTCTATCTTGCAGCAACCGAGCCCACAGAAGTCACCATGATTATTAAGTAGCTTAACAATGAATCAGGAAATCTGGCTCAAGTCCCACCATTACAGTATTGTACAAACGAGCGGCTCATGTTCTTTTGCCCACTATTTCATTACTCTTTAACAAATTACTAGAAACCAAAACTTTCCCAACACTACTCAAGATAGCAAGGGTCACACCAATACACGAAGGTGGTGACCCCCACAGATGTAAACAACTAGAGGCCAATATCAAACTTACTGTTGCTATCCAAATCTTCGAGAAACTCGTGCACAACAGATTATACTCCTTTATAACAGAGCAAAGCATCAACCCCTGAAAGGGTTAAAGTGCAGGCATTGTACTTCCCATTTCCAATACTCAAGTCCAGCTATATAAAAATAACCGGTTTCCTTGAATCCCTTCACTAAATATTACCCTGCTCACACTCCAACAGCTCGCCAGGTCCCAAAAACCACGCGTCTCCATTCACTCCTAACACGCTCAAGCACGATTGCTGGAAGTCCAAGCCTCTCACCCACAAAACCTCCTTGACCATTTTGAGGACGACCCCTACCTCGCTTTCCTTCCCCTACAGATTTATACACTCTCCATGTCATTCTATTTTGATCCATTCTCTCTAAATGGCCAAACCACCTAAACGACCCCTCTTCAGCCTTCTGACTAATACTTTTAGTAACTCTACACCTTTTCCTAATTTCCACACTCTGCATTCTTTGCATAAAATTTACACCACACATTGCACTTACACAGGACATCTCCACTGCCTCCAACTGCCTCCTCGCTGCAGCATTTACAACCCAAGCTCCACACCCATATAAGTGTGTGGGTACCACTATACTTTCATACATTCCCTTCTTTGCCTCCATGAATTCCGCTTTTTGTCTCCACAGATACCTCAATACACCACTCACGTTTTTTCCTTCATCAATCCTATGTTTAACATCATCCTTCATAAACCCATCTGCGACACATCAACTCCCAAATATCTGAAAACATTCACTTCTTCCATACTCCCTCTCTCCAATGTGATATCCAATTTTTCTTTATCTAAATCGTTTGATACCCTCATCACCTTATTCTTACCTATGTTCATTTTCAACTTTCTACCTTTACATACCCTCCCAAACTCATCCACTAACCTTTGCAACTTCTCTTTAGAATCTCCCAGAAGCACCGTATCATCAGCAAAAAGTAACTGTGTCAACTCCCATTTTGTACTTGATTCCCCATAATTTAATCTCACCCCTCTTCCCAACACCCTAGCATTTACCTCCTTCACAGCCCCATCTATAAATACAGTGGACCCCCGCATAACGATCACCTCCGAATGCGACCAATTATGTAAGTGTATTTATGTAAGTGCGTTTGTATGTCTATGTTTGGGGGTCTGAAATGGACTAATCTACTTCACAATATTCCTTATGGGAACAAATTCGGTCAGTACTGGCACCTGAACATACTTCTGGAGTGAAAAAATATCGTTAACCGGGGGTCCATTGTATATTAAACAACCATGGTGACATTATACATCCCTGTCTAAATCCATAACTGCAATGAAAACTTCCTTACCTTCATCTAAACACTGTTCACATATATGCTTCAACGTAAACACGTGATCTACACATCCTCTACCCACTCGAGAGCCTCCATGCTCATCTGCAATCCTACTCTCTATCTTACCTCTAATTCTCTCAATAATAACCCTATCATACACTTTCCCTGGTATACTTAGTAAACTTGGTATAAACCTTGGTAATAAATACCGAAAAGTTGGTTTAGAAAGACACATAAGCAAACACTATGACATATTTATTAGACAACATTTCGGTCCTGGGACCTTGATCACTTCTGAAGTGATCAAGGTCCCAGTGTTTGCTTACGTGTCTTTCTAAACCACTTAGTAAGCTTATTCCCCTATAATTTTTACAAACTCTTTTGTCCCCCTTCCCTTTATATAAAGGAACTATGCATGCTCTCTGCCAATCCCTAGGTACCTTCCCCTCTTTCATACATTTATTAAACAAAAATACCAACCACTCCAACATTACATCCCCCTTGCTTTTAACATTTCTGTCATGATCCTGTCAGTTCCAGCTGCTTTACCCCCTTTCCTTCTACATAATGCCTCACGCACCTGCCCCACACTCACATCATGCTCTTCTTCACTCCTAAAAGATGTTATACCTCCCTGGCCAGTGCATGAAATTTCCGCCTACCTTTCTTCATCGGTGTTTAAAAGTTCCTCAAAATATTCCTGTCATCTACCCAATACCTTTAGCTCCCCATCTACTACTCCCCTACTCTGTTTTTAACCCTTAACCTGTCCAAACGTACATCTACGTGTGCTCGTGTAGCGCTCTGAACGTAGATCTACATTTTTGTACAATGTTTTTTATGGAGAAAATCAAGGTCGGACCACTACACGCATAAACGTAGATCTACATTTGGACAGTTTAATGGTTAACTGACAAACCCATTCATTCCCTAAGTTTTCTTAAGTTAGTCCTAAGTTTGCCTGAAATATTCTCCCAATATAGGAGCTTCTATAATAAGAGTTATGATGCTGAGATAAAACCATTCCCATTACTAAATTAACTAACTGTAATACAGTGGACCCCCAGTTAACGATACTTTTTCACTCCAGAAGTATGTTCAGGTGCCAGTACTGACCGAATTTGTTCCCATAAGGAATATTGTGAAGTAGATTAGTCCATTTCAGACCCCCAAACATAAACGTACAAACGCACTTACATAAATACACTTACATAATTGGTCGCATTCGGAGGTGATCGTTATGCGGGGGTCCACTGTACTGTTATATGTTTTGTACTACCTCACTATTATCAAGCTAATTAATGTTAATCACTTCAATTGCCTAACTTTTATATCAGTATGCAATAATGTATATTATTGCATACTGATGTAAAATACAGAGTGAGAATTAGGATTAGTCTGCCTGAAACGCTTAGGCATGCTAGTGGCCTTCCATATAATTAATATTTTATAATATGTAAACCACACATTGTAAGCTTTGCAAGGAAATAAATATTTTCATTTTCATTTCATTTCATTTTCACTGTATTATATTATGTACTGTATTAATCATGATTCTGCTGCTGAAATCACTAGAAGGCAGCAGATAAAATATTTAAAAAAAAATAATTACCTAGGTATCACTGGAAGGCAGCAGATATAATATTTAAAAAAAATAAAATAAAAATTACCTAGGTATGTCTCATTTAAAAGATCCAAGTACAGATATTGCAAATTTGTTATAAAATGTACTTACTTGTATTTTGTGTGCATATTTATATATGGGGAAAGGGGAAAGCAGACTACTAGCATATGTTAAAATAACCACCTACCTCATCCATTAACATTGCAACTCCCTCAGAAATAAGAAAGAGGTCAGGTAGGTGATGTGTTATGCCTGGGATGATAACAGTCTGTTCAGTAAAGATGTGGTGACAGCTGATGCTACTGAGACTCACATCAAAGCTCAGGTAGTTTTGGCTCTCTGGAGGGTTAAACAAGATATGATTAAGTTCTACAAAGTAATTCTGATCATTTAAATCAAATATGAGAATTATTTACGGTGAATGTAAAATGCTTAGACATGCACAGTAGGACCCTGTCTTACAATATTCTGATTTATGATGTTCCATACTCATGATATGGCACTTCAGAACTAACTGATTACTTATAAAACCCTGATCTTTAGTTACAATAACTGTAAATATTAAAAAATAAATAATTTTAAACCAATACTGTATAATTTTTATCTAGTTTTTAGCAAATGCATTCATACTGTGTCTATGTTCATTTTATGGTGTGTATATTATGCAAAGGATTCAGAGCATGGAGATGAAAAGATGGTGACTATGTGGATGCAGTCTTGGCCTTAGCTAGTGGAACTTTAAAAGGCCAAGGACTTACTGTCTCAATAATGGGTATTTCCTTCCCTGCCCTACCCAGCCAGTCAACATACTTGTACAAGGGAAGAGAAGGGGAAGGTCAGTGAGGGCAAGATAACAAGGAGAGGGTGAGGGGAAAGTTTTGTTACCTTTTAAATAATTTTATAATTTAATGATCTACTGTAGTATTTACAATCACATCATTTCATGGATACAAATTAAAAATTTACACAGGATTACCTAAGCCTTCATCATCAGTTTGACAGAAGACAGTGAGAACAGTATCTGATACACTCAAGGAAAGCTCCTTGATTCTTGATGGTTGCAGACTTGTGGGCCATATTACTTGGTGAAGAGTGACCTGGCTCCTGTTTATTCCACCTGTAAGATATAATGAAAAACTCTCATCTTTCATTTACATTGCATACCCCAATGAAAATTTTTTTATTATTTTGATATACGGTACTGAATTTTACTAAATGCTTATTGCATTGATTCAAGCTAATTTAAGGGGTGGATTTGCATTTGCATTCGTATCAACACTACATCGCCATTATCTAAAAAACTTCGCTTAGTGGTAATGAACCTACCGTACACCCACTGAATTGGTAGATCAAAAACCTTGCAAATTTTTCCTCTTCATATTGTTGCACTCATAGTGCTATTACTAATTTCCTTTTTATTGTTTGTATTTGTATTAATATATTCATGAAGAAGTGCTAAACCCAATGGGGTTATGTTAAATAAATGTTGGCAAATATTGTATTGCTAAAATATTATTAGAATACAGTGGACCCTCAACCAACGATGGCATCGTCTAACGTTAAATCTGACTAGCGATACATTTTAACGCAAAAATTTTGCTTCGACTAGCGCTAAAAAACTCGACCAACACGATTCGTTCCGTTTGAGACGTGTCCACTTGTGGCCAGTGTTTACAAGCCAACCAGCCACCGCGGTCCCATCCAAACATACAATCGGAACATTTCATATTATCACAGCGTTTTTAGTGATTGCACCTGCAAAATAAGTCACTATGGGCCCCAAGAAAGCTTCTAGTGCCAACCCTACAGCAAAAAGGGTGAGAATTACTATGGATATGAAGAAAGAGATTATTGCTAAGTATGAAAGTGGAGTGTGTGTGTCTGAGCTGGCCAGGTTGTACACAAAACCCCAATCAACCATCGCTACTATTGTGGCCAAGAAAACGGAAATCAAGGAAGCTGTTCTTGCCAAAGGTGCAACTATGGTTTTTGAAACTGAGATCACAAGTGATAGAAGATGTTGAGAGACTGTTATTGGTGTGGATAAACGAAAAACAGATAGCAGGAGATAGCATCTCTCAAGCAATCATATGTGAAAAGGCTAGGAAGTTGCATGAGGATTTAATTAGAAAAATGCCTGCAACTAGTGGTGATGTGAGTGAATTTAAGGCCAGCAAAGGATGGTTTGAGAGATTTAAGAATCATAGTGGCATACATAGTGTGATAAGGCATGGTGAGGCTGCCAGTTCGGACCAAAAAGCAGCTGAAAAATATGTGCAGGAATTCAAGGAAAAAGTGTTTAATTGTGACACTGACAATGTTGTGAAACACTTTAGGAATGTCATAAAGGAACGGGAGGTACAGGCCTCTATGGACAGATATGTTGTGTGACAGAGGTCCAGTGACTCTCAAGCTGGGCTTAGTGGCATTAAAGAAGGGAAGTAACCCCAGAAAAGGACTTGACACTTCAAGTCCTAATGGAAGGGGATTCCCCTTCTAAACACTAACACCATCCACACTCTCCCCTCCTCCCTTCTCATCAATCATCACCAGATCTTCAATAAAGGTAAGTGTCATGTAATTGTACATGTCTTCTTCAGTTTGTGTGTATTAAAATTAATATTTCATGTGGTAAAATTTTTTTTTTCAATACTTTTGGGTGTCTTGCACGGATTAATCTGATTTCCATTATTTCTTATGGGGAAAATTAACTCGACTAACGATAATTTCGATTAACGATGAGCTCTCAGGAACGGATTAATATCGTTGGTCGAGGGTCCACTGTATACAGTTTAGTATTGTAATAGCTGATAAATAAAAGTCTCACCTTTTTTTCCAAGAGAAATTCGATATCTAAAATTAGTCACATAAATATGTCGTTTGGAGTCTGCCACTGCTATAGTTTCACCAGTTGAGGAACAAGTAAGAGAACTCCATTCTGTAAACTCAGACCCTATCCTTTGTAAGCTCAAATTGATGACATCAATCAGCTTGCATTTTTTGGTTTCATACTCATCTAAAATACCAAGTTAAGGAAAAAAGTTCTTGTACAGTACAATCATCCTAGCTTTACTCAACTATTAAAAAATTTTCAGATTAAAAGTAACTGGCATAAAATGTATAAATAAAAAAAAGAAATAAGAGCATCAACCTAGAAAGCCTACAAGACCTGTACTAATGGAAGAACTTAACTGATGACTGCTAGAAATAGATAAATTCTTTTTTGCTCTTATTGCATAAGAAATAATGGTTTCCTTCCTTCCTTCTTACCCCTACAATATTAGTGTACATATGGAAAGTAGGACTAGCACAAACTGGAATAATCTCAGACTTCAGATTTTTTTTTTTAACACGTCGGCTGCTTCCCACTGAGGCAGGGTGACCCCAAATGAAAGAAAAACCCAGAAAGAAAGAAAAAAATTTCATCATCATTCAACACTTTCCCCATCACTCAGAGGTACTCTAATACAACAGCTTAGATGTCCCTCCAAACTGCTACTATCCCAGACCCCTCCTGTAAAGTGCAGGTATTGTACTTCCCATTTCTAGGACTCAAGTCCTGAAACATCTGTACAATTTTCTCATACATACTGAACTTATTAAGGTATTTATCAGTAATATCGGATAATATGAACAAGATTATATAGAATTTAGTACAGTGGACCCTCCATTTTCGTCGATCTCTGTTATCGCCGATTTCAGCTTTCGCTGACTTTTTTCATCAAAATATTGCCTCCATTTTCATAGATTTCCTCCGTTTTCATCAATGGTATGGAACCTGTCCAGTGCCCAGCGTGCACACAAAGCTGCCTCCCACACACATTCTCAGGCAGTACAGGAAGGAGCCATCAGCCATCAGTTCCATTGTGGCAAAGAAAAAAGAAATCAAGGAAGCTGATGTTGTGAAGAGGTAAATGTGATAACGAAACAGAGATCACAAGCAAGTGAACCAGTGGAGAAATTGTTGTTGGTGTGGATCAACGAGAAACAATTAGTGGGAGATAGTATTATGCAGTTGATAATTTGCGAAAAGGCAAGGCAGTGGCATGACAATCTCATAAAGAAAATGCCTGGAACGAGTGCTGATGTTAGTGAATTGAAGGCCAGCAAAGGCTGGTTCAAAAAATTCAAGAAGCAAAGTGGCATATACAGTGTTGTAAGGCATGGTGAGGCTGCCAGTTCTGACAAACAAGCAGCTGTAAAATTTGTGCATGAATTCAAAGACTACGTAGAGGCTGAAAAATTCATCCCTCAACAAATGTTCAATTGTGACGAAACAGGCCTCTCTTGGAAGAAAATGCCAAAGAGGACCTACATCATGCAGGAGGAAAGGGTACTCCCAGGACACAAGCCCATGAAAGACAGGCTAACTCTCTTCTTCTGTGGTAATGCTAGTGGGGATTTCAAAGTAAAGCCTTTACTGGTGTATCACTCTGAAAATCCCAGTGTGTTCAAGAAAAACAGTGTCGTCAAGAGCAAACTGTGTGTGATGTGGAAGGCTAACAGTAATTTTCCTTGTGACCCATGCTAAGGCACGGGTCACAAGGAAAATTTTCCTGGAATGGTTCAATGAAATGTTTGACCCGAGTGTGAAAAAAATACCTCCTGGATAATAAATTGCCACTCCACTGCCTCCTGTTAATGGACAATGCTCCTGCTCATCCTCTAGACTTGGAAGACGAATTGTCTAAGGAATTCAGTTTTGTAACAGTGAAGTTCTTGCCTCCTAACATCACTCCTCTCATCCAGCCCATGGACTAGCAAATCACTGCAAACTTCAAAAAAAACTGCACATCAAAGCAATGTTTAAAAGGTGCTTTGATGTGACCTAGACTCTGAATTGACCCTAAGAGAGTTCTGGAGGGATCACTTCAATATCTTCCATTGCATAAGCCTTATAGAAAAGGCATGGCAGGGAGTGACTTCCAGGACGATGAACTCTGCTTGGAGAAAATTTGGCCAGATTCAAATTCAAATTCAAACTTTATTCTCTATAAGTATTACAATGCTGAGTTTACAGAATTTGGTTATTGTGTGGTTTACATGTAGTAAAATAATAATTACAGAGTGTACCACTAGAACGCCTAGCATGGCTAGGCATTTCGGGCAGACTTATATTAAATCTTAGGTTTAAAATGCTACAAAATTATGATATAAGTTGGTATTATGGCTAAGTGACTAAATACCAGTTATGAGTTTAGCAATGTGAATGCTTTGTTTTGGCACTATACATAGTTTCAGTATTGGAGTATCACAGGCCAACTTTTGACTAGTTAAGATTCATTATTTTGAGGTTGAGATTGATATTTCTGTTTATGGTCAAATGGGTGAGTGAGTGTAAGTGTGAACCACCAGGTGGTATTCGTATTATTAGTTGACAGGGTGTATCAGGGAGATAAGATGTTTTCTGATGGTAGTTTTGAAGGTGATGAATGTGTCTGCAGTTTTGGAATTTTCAGGTAGGGTGTTCCAGATTTCAGGGCCTTTGACATACATTGAATTTTTGTAAAGGTTTAGTTGGACACGGGGAATGTCATAGAGATGTTTGTGTCTGGTGTTGTGCCTGTGGGTTCTGTCACAACTATCAAGAAAGCGTTTTAGGTCAAGGTTAATATTGGAATTTAAGGTCCTGTAGATGTAGATTGCACAGTAGTAAGTGTGGATGTACTGAACAGGGAGTAAGTTTAGATCTATGAAGAGTGGGGGGGGGGGTGTTGCCAGGGATGGGATTTAGTGATTATTCTTACTGCGGCTTTTTGTTGGGTTATTATTGGCTTTAGGTGTGTTGCTGCAGTTGAACCCCAAGCACAGATAGCATAGGTGAGGTATGGTATATATAAGTGAATGGTATAGTGTGAGAAGGGCAGTTTGCAGCACGTAGTATCGTATCTTGGAGAGGATCCCAACCTTTTGGATACTTTTTTGGTTATGTGTTGGATATGGGTGCTGAAGTTCAGGTTGTTGTCGAGGAATAGGCCTAGGAATTTGCCCTCATTATGCCTGGTAATTAGAGTGTTGTCGATCTTAATGTTAATTTGCGCATCTCCTGCTTCTGCTACCAAACATAACGTAGTAGGTTTTGTCAACGTTAAGCGTAAGTTTATTGGCTGTCATCCAAGTCGATATTTTGATCAGCTCCTCATTAAAATAGTGTTGAGGGTTTGCAAGATTAGGGTGAGAGATGACATAAGTCGTGTCGTCAGCAAAGAGAATGGGGTTCAGGTGTCGAGATACGTTTGGAAGATCATTGATGTATATGAGGAAGAGCAGGGGACCAAGGACACTTCCCTGCGGAACTCCGTATCAAGTGGCTGTGTTGTTGATGCTGTGTCTTTAATGGTGACATACTGATACCTATTAGTAAGGTAAGATTTGAAATATGCAAGCGCATGGCCTCTTATACCATAATGGTCAAGTTTGTGGAGTAGGATGCCGTGGTCTACTGTGTCAAAAGCTTTTCTTAGGTCAATAAAAATTCCTAGTGGATATTCCTTATTTTCCAATGCTGTGTAAAGCAGATCTAGCATTTTTATAATTGCATCGTTAGTGCTTTTATTTTTCCTGAATCCAAATTGGCAGGGGTTGAGTATGTTTTGTGTCGTTATAAATGAATATAGTCTCCTGTGCACGAGTTTCTCAAAGATTTTGGATAGCAATGGTAAGTTTGATATTGGCCTATAGTTGTTTAAATCTGTAGGGTCACCACCTTTATGTATTGGTGTAACCCTTGCCGTCTTGAGTAGTTTCGGGAAGGTGCTAGCTTCTAGTGACTTGTTAAAAAGCAATGAGATAGTATGCGAGAGGACATGGGCCACTCTCTTGTACAATAATGGTGGGACATGAGACAGATTCCCTGAGTTATTTTTAAGTGACTTTATAATCTCGGTGACTTCCGTGGGCTCAGTTGGAGCAAGACAGAAGGAATTTGGGAAATTCCCATCTAGGTAGTCCCCGGCATGGGCATTGGTACATGGGATTTTATTAGCGAGATTAGAACCTATGGTTGAGAAGAAGTCGTTTATCTTGTTAGCTGTGTTGCAGTGGTGTTTTATTAGGTTTAGTTAGGACAATATTCTTGTTTTTTTTTCAGTTTGTGGGTCCCTAGAATCTGAGAGAGTGTTTTCCAGGTCTTTTTTATATCTCCTCTTGTGTCAGTGAATCTACTGGAGTAGTATAGTTGTTTGGCTTTCTTTATTACTTTGGTGAGGACTGATGAATAGTGTTTAAGAATATCTTTGTGTATTAAGCCCTGTCTATATTGTTTTCATATTGGTGTTTCTTATCAATGGATTTCAGAATGGTGCTGGTTAGCCATGGGCAACCAAGCCGTTTGTTTGTGATCTGTTTCATTTCTATAGGACAATGTTTGTTGTATAGTCTAAGTAGTTTGTTAAGAAAAATGTCTGTCCAGTCGTCAATACCATTGGCCTTGGAGAATTCTGTAGGCCAGTCAACAGTCTCTAGGTCAGCTGTGAACTTCCTTATTGAGGCCTCATCATGGAGTCTAAATGAGACTTTGTTGTATTCAAGTGGTGGTTTACTAATGTTTGTCAAGAGGAAGGTAGGGTAGTGGTCTGTAGCGCTATCTGTGATTATCCCTGATTTAAGGGGGGCTAGTATATTGGTCCATATGTGGTCTATTATGGTTGCACTTGTTTCAGTGAGCCTGGTTGGTTTAGTTATTGTTGGTATGAGAAGTGTGTTGTTCATATTGTTGATGAAATCAGTTACAGGCTGATCATCTAGTAGGCTGTGTCCAAGAGAAGGATTTTGAAGAGTTTGGGGCTCTGCAAATAGTGTGGGTTTGATCAATTGCGAAGCATTTGGTAGGTCATTTATATATAGGAGAAAGAGAAGAAGGCCAAGGACACTTCCCTGTGGGACACCAACTGTAATTGGTTGTGCGGAAGAGTTTGCCCCATTTGCGTACACATATTGGCTTCTGTTGCTGAGGTATGACTTGAGGTAGTTGAGGGAGTGCCCTCTTATACCATAGTGTGACAATTTTATGTGGAG